ATAGTGGACAAGTTTCTACACTCGTTTACTCTTTGTATTTCTAGCGTTTCTCTTTATAAATACAACGCGGAAACTGTTTCGAACTGAAATATTACAAGACTTTAATAGTTAACGTGCAATGTCAAGATTAAATTTTGAAAAAAATAGAAAAATGAAATAAAGAATAATTACGGAAAATTTAATTGTTTAATCCGTGAAATATTAATCAAAAATATTAAGCAGTTTTGTCACCATGGAAAAACTTAAAAAATATAATTAGATGAATAGATATATTTGCAAGTATATGCACATTGGAAGGAAATTTTTATAATTTTTTTTGTGAATAAATGAAATACAAGAAAAGATGTCTCCTAATCGGAGATGCATCATCTTAAAGAAAACATAGAAATTATTCTTGGAAAATGCAATCTCGGAAAAATAGAAAATACTTAAACGATGTTGCGATCGATTACAATTCACATATTATTTCGAAGGTCACGCTGAATGTAATTGTTCCGGTATGCCTGGCTTTCTGGACATTTCTGCAAAATAGTCGCATCGGAAGGCGCCTGTTGAAAAAAAAATTCGCTGCAGCGTACGCATCAAATGTCACATCACGCATGATTAAATGTCGCCGTATTGTACAAAGTAATGGTATTATTCGAAGTGGCCATGTAATTATGGTAATTGTACGGCGAGGCTTTCAATGCGCAGCAAGCAAACGTGAAATTTTGCACACTTTATTAAAATTCAGTCGATCACGCGCGTTGATCACGAACATATCTTTTGCAGAAACATTGTTTAACGAGCCGGACGATATGTACGAAATTGCACAATTCACCGGTCAAGCCGCGACGCGCAGCGCTGCATAATGCATTTGCCGAGTGTCGAGGCATCGAGTATCAATTTCGCGTTGCATAATCGCGGGGAAAGAGAAGCGGGGAGGAGGGGATAGCGAGAAAGAAAGAGAGAGAGAGAGAGAGAGAGAGAGAGAGAGAAGAGGACGGACAGAATCGAAGCGCGTCTCGAGCCGAGTCCGCACACAAACTTTCTTATTCCGCCCCGTAGCCGCGCTTCCGGTTGTGTAACAGGCGCCTACGCCGCACGTTGCATCT